GGGTGAAGGCCGAGAGCGTCCTAGGATCACGAACATACGGGACACATGTGCACTGCCTCACCGTGCACAGGAGGGCCTGGCAGGAAAGCTGGCAAGGAACAGAAATAGCAACCACCTTCGTGTGCAGACGACAAGATGTGTGTGTCTCCTCCTAAGGAACCTATAGAAATGCCACTAGAGTTAGTGAGTTCAGCACAGCTGTGGGATATAGTCAGTGTACAAACATCTCACGTGGGCATTTTGTTTGTATATCATTCTAAAAGCTTTTACAAGCAAGTTACACAGATCCTTCCACACTGTCCCTCAAGAGACGGTTTTCCACGGATGGCCCTGGGCAGCGAACACACACGACACAGATGGAGGTAAGAGTCCAGAGCAGCCCCTGAACCTGCAGAACCCGCTGTGGCTCCCGACGCACACCCAGCTGAGACGAGGGCCTTTTTCTACCTCGAAAGGCGGAAGGAGATGTGGCGGTGCCTTCGGTGTGGCTCTGGGCAGAGCCTGAGGCCCACTCCCTGTTGTCCTGAGAGCCGGCCCTGCCCTGGTCCGCACACATCAAGGTGGCAACGCCTGTGCAGCCCTTGTCAGGCAGGCCCCCTGACCGCCCCACACTCATAAGCACCACGTGAACGCACAGCTCAGGACCGTTTGTTTCCTCTTGTTTCTCTTCCTACTTGGTGCTGCTGTCGGAGCTCCTGTGAACAGCTGGTCCGGGCTTGGGCGCTGTCCCTCCCTCATTCTATCAGCACCCACACCAGCTACCAGCGCTGCCCGGCCTCACTCACCTGCCCGTGTGCAGCGCTGGCTCCCAGCGCATCTGTTGCCCGTGGGACAGCTGGACTTCTCTCCCAAGACTGTGAACATTATTTGGAGAAAAGAAGTCAACTTCAGTAGGTTAATGCCTGTTAAGGAGAAATTAATACCAAAAAACCAACACCCCAAAAGTAAAACAGGCAGAGAACACACATTAGGTCCAACCTCACAGTCATCTTCTTGTGCCCACCTTCAGGGAAGAAAGGTGACAGTGTCCATCCTGCCAGTGGTCTGGAAATACCCTTACAAATACTGGATGCTTCTCCTGCATTCTGCTTCTCGCTTATCTTACGGAGACAATCAGATGCACAAAAGCACATGTGCCGTGGTGCTTATCACAAAATGACAGACACTGATCCATCTGTGTGATACCATCTATCTAATAAAAACCGTATTTTCACGCTTTTGAAAAAGGGTGGTTATTAAATGAAAACAGTATATTCAATGCTTACGGTTCAAGCCTTCACCCATAGACACACACACACACACACACACACACAGAATCTACTGTTTGACAATGAAGCATATTCTTGGCTGTTAGTGTCAGTTCAGCATAGAACGTGGTGCTGAAAATACAGAACCTTTATGTAATATGTAAAACCGCACATTTGCACGTGCTCTGAAGGAGGCAGAAACGATCTTGCTCGGGTCCCGACCCTATTCAGTCTCCCCTGCAGCTGCCAGGGCCACTGCTCCATTTCTGGGTGGCAGGGTTATGCATGAGTTTTATTTTCTTTTATATACTTATATAAAGAAATCAAAAATAAAATCATTAATACTACTTTTTTCAGTTAAGATGCAAAACTGACAAAGTTAAAATCAGTAAACATGATTTATTACTTTGCCTATCAAAGTGGTTTTAGAGCAGTGAAGTGAGGCTGCACTGGGCTGTTCTGACTGGGCTGAGACCCCAGGGTCAGCAGAGAGCAGGGCCATCCCTGCAGTGTCTGCTGTGAGCCCAGGACCACAGCCCACCACCGAACACATCTCCCCAGGTTCCTTCTGCATCAGGGAGGGTTCATCTGGATACAATCAATACAGTTAAAATACATCTTAGGAAAAATAAATACTCTGTGCAGTGTCCTTACAAGGATCAATGCTCTGTATCTACCCCCAATTACTACAAAATCGAGAAACTATCATTTAACAGTTTAGAAGCATATTATGGGCTGTTAGTGTTAACTCAGCACAGAAATGTGCTGAAAATATAGAATCTTTTTTGAACCACATTCACAAATATGCAAAGTTGCAAATTTTAATGTGCTTATTAGCAGAAAAGAATTTCTTAAAGAAGGAAGTAGGAATGGTTTTGCTGGGCATGCCTGATGCCTTTCAAAGATGGGCACACAGCAGTGCACTCCTGCCCCACATGCCAGGGACCTTCCCCACAGCCTTCCCCGTCCTCTCCAGTGCCTGCACCAGCGGCCATGGCGGGGTGACGCTGCTCTTAAAACTTGAAGAGGTCAATGAAGTGCTGCGGGGACACGGGTGTGAAGCAGCTGTCAGGGTCGGCGGCCGTGCAGGGGTGCCCCGAGTCCTGCGGGAGGAGGGCAGGCATTACCACAGATGCACCTTTGTGGAGGGAAGACGGTGGCTCAGACGTCACCAGCTGTTTGTTTAAATGGACCCCAGGCCCCATCCTCGCAAACGTATGTGGACAGTAAGCCATGAGGATCATGGAAACGAATCCAGCCATGCAGCTTCTCCGTGGGGGAGGCTTCCCGCAGGAATCCCTGCTCCAGCAGGTGTGAGACGGGGGGCCCTGAAGCCCACAGTTCTGCCCTGGTCCTGGCCCTGCTCTACCCATGCCCACTGTGGGTCAGGGTTCACCCCTGCCCACCTGCAGGCCCAGCACCACATCTCACAGAACAGATCATGTGTGGAAAACAGACGGACACAGCAGCCTAAGGCCTGTGAGGAGGCGGGAGAGACCTGTGGTGCCATCCGTCCACCTGAGCGAGGTTCTTACAGCCAGGTCCACCACCTCCCCCCTGGCTGGGCCTCCGCCCCACAGGCTGGCCTACATGGCAGCTCATGGGAACCCTGTGGTGGCAAAGGGGACTGGCCTCTGGGGACAAGCACAGCACACGGCAAAGCAGGAGGTACCTCGAGTAATAAAGCGAGGCGGCGGTCCTTGGAGGCGTGGAGAAAGGGCCAGGAAGGAGTGCAGTGGGGGAGGAAAAAAGGGAAAACAGGGTTAGGAAGAGGCAGGCTGTTCTCAGGACGTCGGTTTGACAGCAGTATTTATGGAAGCATCTAGAATCATCAGGGAGTTAAGTCTGAGCAGTGGAAGTACCACGAAGGACATACAGGAGGCCGTCTGAGCACACAGATTCATGTCTCCGCTTCAGAGTCTGACTGACGACAATGAGGCCACGGAGCTAAAGCGTCACCTGACTTTACCCTGAAAACGTGCAGCCTGGCCGCTGTCCCCACCTTCAGCTGACAATGAACACGTCAGAGCATGCTTCCTGGAAGGTCACTTGCTCCCTCTATAACATCTGAGGGTCAGCTCCGCCAGAGTGTGGGAAATGGACTCCACCTGAGCCTCAGGCCTGGCGGCCAGGCTCCCCTTTTTCTCACCTGTTTGCAACATGAGATAGGCCCCTGCCTGCTGCTCTCACGTCGCCCGTCCTGCTCAAGGTGAATGGACTGGCCACTCCACGGCCTCCCTCACCCTCACCGCAGCCCCGTGTCCACACCTGATGTGCGCACACGCTTCTGGCAGTGGACATGCAGGGACAACAGGGACACAGGGTCCTGAGTCCTGGCCTTGAACTGGACTCATTCCACCAGCTTCCCACCACCCGACACCCAGTTTTAACTGGAGTTTCATCAAGTTGAGAAGCAGAGACACTCGGCTGGAGGACGGGGAGAGGAAGAACTTGGTGACCGTCCATGCTCGGCCTTCCACTAAGGCACCCAGCCTCCAACAGAGTGAAGCCTCAATAGACAAGACCTGGGGGCAGACAAGAGGCTGGGGGGCGACCTGTCAGAGGGTCCATGTGCCCAAGATGATGCGTTGGCCAGACCGCAGGCCCTGCTGACACTCGAGGGGGTTGAAGTTGCTGTAGTCTCTCCATCAGGCCAAAGACAGAGAGAAACACCAGCAGGTGCCATTCCCTGAGCACCTCCTCGAGAAGGGTCCACCCCACAGGAGGCCTGTGAGACCCAGGACAGCCCAGTGGCTGGTGTGCAGAGCAGAGGGGTTCCTCAGGCGCCAACCTCGGAAGCAGGTTATGCCAGAGCTAGAGACACGTCTATTTCTAAACTTTCACACAGATTCAGAAATGATGTTGGCTGTAACTGCGTCTCCTGGAGCAGTCTATGGAGAAAAAGTGCGACGTGACCAGGCAACCGGACCTAGCCAGTCCTGGGGGCCCGTGGCTCAGGGAAGCCACGGCCCAGGTGATGAACATTTCAGAACTGAAAGACTGGTTTTAAATTTTTATAAATAGAAGAAACTGCAGGCAAATTCTTTTGGAAAGCTAAAACATACCCTCTCTATTTTTAACAACGCAGAACTTTCATGCTCCTCGACACCCCCGCAGCACAGCCTCACACCAGCTACACAGAAACTAAAGAGAGTGTCTGCTCCCTCGTTCACTGCTCAGGACACAGGGCTCCAACCCTCCCAAACACTGTACTTGGAAAAACATCTCACATGCCAGGCTGCAGACTTCTGTCCCAGGAGCACTGCGGTACCTGAGACACTCCTGCTCCTAGTATTTCTTTAGGACAGAAGAAGAGCGGGAAACCCTTGGGAGGAGCTGACTGATTCGGAGTGGGAACCAGGGCGTCTCACGTGCTCTGACTCGTCCCTGAAGACGTCCTCACGGTTTCCATCAGCACCAGGGACCCCACTCACTCGACCGCTGGCACCTGCCTGCGTGTGTGTTTCCGTCCCTGGACCGGGAGCAAGGGCACAAAACACGAGCTCTCCTCTGTGTGCCGTGGTCCCCACCAACTGACCGACTCCTGACATTCCCCGAGTCCCTGCAGCACGTGCCTGGCACCCAGGCCAGGAGAAGCGGGAGCTGTCCCTGCTCCCGAGGAACAAAAACAACTACTGCAGCCACAGATGGCATTTCCTCTTTCAGTTTCAAGAAAGAAGTCACACTAAAACATAAAACAATAAATCAGAATTAACATAACCTCCTGCTATTCGTACATGGAGGCATCAGGACGCTGCTCACCTTCTGCACAATAAGTAAAGCTCTATTAAAACATGGACACTCTCACCCCTGGACCACAGGCTATAACTCCAAAAAAAGCCACACTACCATAAGTATAATCTGAAATGAAAAAAAATGTAAAGAAGTCATTTCTTTTCCAACAATTTACAGATAAATGAAAATCCAAAGAAATAAACAGCTGTGGTGCCGGCCAGGCAGGCTCAGGGCCCCGCAGCCACCCTGCCAGTTTCACCATTTCCCCCACAAACTCAAGGCAAACCATGGAAGTGCACTCCAGAGCAAGACTGTTAACGTGCTGAGGAGACAGGTTCTACTAGGAGGAGGCGCAGAAACTGCCCAACCTGAGACCTGTTTTCATCGGAGATGAGTCTGGACAGAAAAGTGAAGGGAACCAGGGCAGGGCTGGGGAGGCTGACGAATTCTGACATGGAGATGGCAGGGGACGTGCCTCCACGGCTCAGTCCCTGCTGAGAACTGCACTTGCTAAATCTGGGTCCAATACACTAGAAGCCTGGATGCCTTTGTGGCCTCACCTCTGCTCCAGGGATGGAGCTGGGGTCCTGACAGTGGAGGCTGAGGAGAGTGTGGACAACACCTGGTGGGTGCCTTCCCTGTTTCCAGAAGAGGATGGAACTGAGCGCTGCAGGGAGCTTGGAGCCACACCCTTGGGGACAGTCCCCCACACACTACCATCATCCAAGGGGACAGAGGTGGCCCCACATCCAGTTCCAACCACAAGCTGTGTGTTTTACCTTTGTGTTCCCCTGCCCCAGTACTTGGTGATACATCAGTAAATTTCTTATCACAAATACAACTTTCCTTTTTTTTCCACATTACACTGAAAATATAGACAAACAATTTGTTTCTCTAAATTTTAATCCTCAAAATCCAACAACATATTTAGAATTCTTACCTTCCAAAAGAGAATGCTGCAGTGCCGACAAAAATGTAATGTGTCTCCGTACTGCTCCTTAGTTGGGTAGTATTTCTGAAGTGCAAAATACATCAACTTCCATTCGATGTGACCTTTTTCTGAAAGGATCAAATGTCTACAAAACTAGACAAACAAAATCCTGTTCAGAATCAGCTGATTTTCTATGTGCATAAGAATTTTCTGCATGAAACATGAAGTGCACGCCCCATCCCCAGTCCCATGGCTGGTTCTGGTCCTGGAGGGATGGGGGCAGCCCAGGGCAGCACCAATGGGCCACACGCAGCCCCAGGAGAGGCATCATGGGGGAAGACAGGGGCCTGCCCTCGACAGAGTGAGAACTCACTCTCCTTCTGCTCTGTTCTGGGCTGTTTTTAGAATCATGGCTTTTCTGAACATGAAAAATAAGCTTGAGCACAGTGATTTTTGTCAATTCTGCTTCTTCCTGAGAAATACTATCCCTGAGCAGCTCGTCCCGGCCCCACACTCACCTGCTTCTCGGCGAAGTGGTATTGGCAGAGCTTCTTCCACAGCCGCCGGTCCTCACTGAGAACGGCCAGTGTTGGGGTCACCTGCCCCAGAGTGACGATGTCCCAGCCATCCGAGAGCCTGTACAGGATGTTGTTGAGCATGTGCACCGGGAGGTCGCTGAGTGTCAGGCCGCCACTCACATGCTGGGAGGGAACAAACACTCAGTCTGCGACAGCACCAGGCAGCCCCGTCAGGTCCCATGTCTCCCTCCTCCTCCCGCCTCGGGATGCGTGCGCCCACCTCCCCCACTCCAGTCTGAATAACGCACAGCAGCTGGCCCCACCGGGACCTTCCCTGACAAGCACCCCTCCTGACGTGGCATCACCACATGCATCAGCCACATGGGTGGTGGCCACGTCTGTCCAGGCCTCGACAGACAGGCTCCCTGGGAACATGTCTTGCAGACAGATCTCCCAGGACAGGGATGACAGGAGGGCAGCACTCTAGCCGACCTCACATTAGGGCCGCATAGACCTGACTGTCAGGTCACCCCTTAGAGCTGAACTAGGGATCCCTGCTCTTTGTAAATCCTTTATTTCAATGGCAAATATGTGGCCCAAAGCTAAGTCACCTTTGAAAACCACCACCTTCACGTGGAGCCTCGAGTGCAGTGACAAACGGACCTTGGCCCGACCGAGGGTGCAATTTGTAGATGACTTACACTCTAGGCCACATATTCCATTTAACTCTTTCTCTTGTTCAGCACCAGAGATAAATGAAACACCTCTTAGTCAATAGTGTCAATGTTTTTCTTGTTGAAACTAGTTACCATAATAAACAGAAAACATAAAGCAACTGGCGTGATCTGCAAGTCCCCTCTGAAAGACACACACACACAACGCACAAGACGAGGTGGGAAACACGAACCCTCCGGAAGTACCAGCCAGACGAACGCAGTCACTGCAATACAACTGAGCCTTAACTTGTCGAACGTCATTCTGCCCTCAAACCCCTAGTGTCCTGTGAAGGTAATGACTTCATCACCCACAGCATCTCTTCTAATTACCATCCCTGCTCTCTTCCCACTGACGACTGTAGGCCATGAAAGGCCCTTCTGGTCTGAATTCATCTTACAACAGTTTAATGCACACTTTTGAGATGTAATGAAAAAAACCTTTCAAAAAGCTCTAACAGTTTTTCACACACACTGAGAAGCAGCAATGACCCTGACAACACAGCACAGAGTGTAATCACTTTCGGGCCAGAAGATTCACACCTTAGCCATCTGAAGATTCTGTAGCTGCTGCTGCCAGCTGAGAACAGTTTCTAGTCGGCAAATCCAAATGTTGATATTTCCCACCAGAACAGACTTCCCCACTCCTCTGATCAGAATGCAAAGGGTAGAACTTAGGTCTTGGAGGAGGTCTTTGATTAGGCGAGGGTTTTGGTGGTCACTGAGAACTGGGAGAAACAGAAACAGAACCACACATTGGTCACTATCGCTGCTTGAAGAGAGGTGCTTTTGTAACCCAAGGGTCCATCAACAGACAACACAAATAAACTGTGCTTTATACACAGTGGAGAATTACTCAGCCTTAAAAAGGAAGGAAGCTGATATGTGCTACCCTCAGGTGAACCCCAAAGACTTTATATAAGTGAAATAACCAGTCACAAATGGATAACTATTGTTTGATGCTCCTTATGTGAGGTCCTTAGAACAGTCAAATTCATAGCGACAGAAAGCAGGCAGAGGTGCCGGGGGTGGAGGACGGGTGGGGAGTCAGTGTTTAACAGAGACAGAGTGTCAGTTTTGCAAGATGAAGAGTTCTGGAGATGGTGGTGGAGACGGCTGCACAACAGTGTGAATGTATTTTATTGCACTGAACTTTATACTTAAAAATAGTTAAGATTGTAAATTTTACGTATATTTTACCAAAATAAAAATGACGTAATTTCACTGTAACCCTACAGTGGCATCATTTTTGAGATATCACAAATATGATGAGATTAAAAAAACTTTAAAATATTGTCTGCTAGTCTTTTTGGTTGACTCTATGGTTTTATCTTTAAAACTGTCAGTAGTCTCTGTTTTCTTTTGTACGTGTCATGAAGAACTGATATTTGTTAGTTTTTGTTTTTTGTTTTTTCTGGTAGTCTCATGATTTTGTGCTTCATTCTGTAATACCTTTAAAATACATTTAAAATTTTTTTTATTGAAGTGTAGTTGACTTACAATGTTAGTTTCAGGTGTACAGCAAAGTGATTCAGTTATACATATACATACGTATATATATTTTTCCAGATTCTTTTCCATTATATGTTATTGGAAGAAACTGAATGCAGTTTCCTGTGCTATACAGTAGGTCCTGGTTCATCTATTTTTTATACAGTAATGTGTAAACCCTGTTAACCCTCAACCACTAATTTATCCCTCTCCCCCTTTCACCTTTGGTAACCATAGTTCATTTTCTGTGTCTGTGAATCTGTGTTTGGTTTGTAAATAGAATTTGTATTGTAAAATTTATTTTTTGAGTGAACTTAATCAGAAATCTAGTTTTAATTTTATTTGTAATTTCTTTTTTTTGAATATTACTGTACTTTTTTTCATTTTTCAGTTTTACTAGGTAAAATTTTTAAAATCTGACTGCACATATACAATACATGGCATGTAAGTACATATATACGATACACTGCACATCATTTTTTTAGTTTACATATATGTCCTATTCATTGTTTCTAAGAACAGTTTAGAGCTTAAGCTTTTTAAACTTACATAGTTATCAAAGGAATAAAGCCAAGCACAAAAGAAGCATCAACAGAATGCAGTAATCCAGTCATAAAGGACCGTCAGATGTGCTTACATGTATTCAAGAAATCGATCATCTAAGGTATAAATAGTAGTTCATTTGTCTTTTGTTTTTTTAAGATACCACATACGAGTGATATCATTGAGCATTTTTCTTTCTCTTTCGCTTACATCACTCAGAATGACGATCTCCAGGTCCCTCCACGTTGCTGCAAATGGCGTTACTGTTTTTATGGCTGAGTAGTGTTCCATTGTAAAGAACTGATATTTAAAATAGCATAATATGCATAAACTCAGTTTCATTTATTATGGCCACTAACAAACCAAGACAAACATGAAATTAGAAAGAGAATTACAGGCGCACTTGCGCCTAAGCAACTAAGTCATGACTTGCTAATAATTATGGGAACACTACATAGTGAAGGCGGACTGTGACTGTTAACCAGGGACAGTAAGGTGTCTTCTTAAAGCTCAGGAATTAGTTACCCTTTGTCATTATAATATACCCCTGTGTGCGCAAAAGCACCTTGGAAGGAAACAGCAGTAACACTATCACAGTATTTGACACCATTAACACTGGGGAAAACGACAGAAAAATCCAATCTCCTTGCACCAAATTCCTAACTAAGATTTAGATGATTAAAAGTATCAGTCACCACTTACCCTTCTGAACGATTTTGTCCAGAATGTGGAAGTAATTTTTCTGGGCCACACCACTCAGCGAGGTCAGCTGGGACTTGGCGATCAGCTGCAGCAGCTGGAGAGAGAGTCAGGGTGAGGTCCCCTCTGCAGGGATGCAGGCCCGGCCCCTCCCCCAGGACAGACGCGTGTCTGCACTCCATCTGCAGGAGGTGACCAGGCAGGTGGTCCTGCATGGGCTCCAGGTCTGCCCAGCCCCACAGCTGCGCAGTCTCCTGTGAAGACCAGTCACAAGCTGGCCACATACCTGACCATCCTCACAACTGGGTCCCCCGCCAGTCCTCAGACCCCCTCTTCCTGCCTGCCATCTCGTCCTAGGTCCTGGGCCTGCCCTCGGGCCCCTCTCAGCCCAGCTTCTCCTGCAGGGGGCAGGGGCTTCGCAGCCTTGTCCCCTCTGGCCTCTCCATCTGAGATACACAGATGTGCCCTTGGCCCTAGTGTGATGTCCACCCTGACACCTGTCTGGTCTGCATGCCGTCCTGCCTCCCTGGGCGCCTCACCTCCCAGTGGTGTGCTGCTCTCGAAGCTGGTCACGTTCCTTCTTTGTTAACCTGCTCTGAGTGAGGCAGGGTCCCTGGTGGGGAAGGGGCTCCTCAGCCGGAGCACTGTCCCCTCTCCTCTGCTGCTGCAGGGAAGCTCAGTGGTATGACTCTCAGGTGACCACACACCCGTTAAGTTTCCAACAGATTTTGCTTTATATGTCTCTAGCCTCCTTTCAGTGAGATATATAAAACAAAATCTGTTGGAAACTTAATGAAAATTTGTTAGAAACAAATATTGCAGAGATTTTACATACCTCTTCAAATCTGACAACTAAAAACAACGAAGGATGTGGAAGAACTATATGACCACCAAACCTTGTTCTACAAAAAGAAAACATTACATCCCTAAAATAAGAGACTCTGCATCTTTCTTATGTGTCAACAGACACACCTTCCCTCTACTCAATCTCGATATTTCCACAAAGTGGAGTTGAATCCTGGTTCCACTATGGAGAGAAGAGGTAACTGGCAGAAACCCTGTCTGGTGAGACTCTCAGGGTGAGAACACAGAAACCCACAATGGGACTCGGCCACAACACAGCCAAAGCCTGGCGAGGCTGCCGGGGAGCCCACGGCCCCAAAGGAGCCCCAGGTGCTGGTCACGTCAGTCCCCTGGCAAACGCTGACTGGGGCCAAATCAAACAGGAATAATCCACTCAAGCTTAAAGTCACTTAACTCCCCAACTTTTTATCCTTCCGGTACTACTTCCAAATGCCTAGGAGCCATTACAAGGAAAATCCTCCCAAAGTCTCACAGCACCATTAAAAACCTCAAATTAACAGCTTCCTGACCATCACTTACCCTGCCCACAGCAGTAGGAAGCTGAGAAAGTCACAGGGTGATTCATCTTTGTGCAAATAAGAGTAAACCACACGTGGAATATATGGTAAGACCCTTTCTTTCCTGGATGTAGGCCAGGAATAAAAATCTCTTCTAAAACATATCATTAACACAGTAAAGCTTCTGTGGAGTTCTATTTTGTATGAATTTCCTTTTTTCTCCTAGCCCACTGTTCCTCTACTAAGGAGGGCTCATACTCTGAAGAACAAAGCAGACAATGCACATGTAACAACCGGGTAATGAATCCCAGGAAAAACTCCGATCTCCTCTCTATCTCTGAAGGTTCCAGGCTGCATGTGGGGCTCAGTGAAACCTCAGGAGGAAAGCGTGGGGAGGTGCCCCAGCACCCGCCAAGAAGCCTCAGGACCACGCTTCCTCCAGGCACGCTCCCTGGGGGTTTCCTACCCGCGAACAAGCACAACTTTACTCAGCTGCCAAAAGCATCTTAAGTATTTCACACTCCGCCTCCAAAACCCAGCCACTCAAAAGCATCACCAAGTGGCTTTGAAATAAAACACTCACTCTGACCACGTAATTGAACCTTCGGGTGTCCTGGATCGCACTGGAGAAGTCTAAGCGGTTAAAGGCTTCCCCCAAGGTGCAATAGCCGTGTCTCTGGAAAGACAGACACACGATACTTCAAATTCACTGAATGAGTCAATAAGTCAAAATGAACCAACAGTTAATGTCAACCAGTCTGTATGATTTTTTTTTTAATTTTGGCAGAGGATGTTAGTTTTTTATTTATTCCATATTTAGATGAGAGTAAAAATAAAGCAATACTAAATTTAAGTCATTTATGTATAATCCGGATCCCATGCACTGGCGTTTTTACACCACTGTTGATATAACGACAAAAATAGTTATTAAATGTCTTGTTGATTTGTTTTGTTGGGATGTGTGTGGGGGAAGGTGACATTAACCCTAAAATCATAGAATAACTGGATGTGTTCTGGCTGTACAACTACAAATAAATACTCAAAGGCATGGCTATTGTGAAGAAGCACCTGCTACAGAGAGACATGTGGACACGTTCGAGTCCTCTGCAGGGAGTCACGTGTGCCCGCAGGCCCAGCCCAGGCCAGCCACACAGGATCAGGGTCGAGGGGCAGCTGAGCGGGTGGGGTTGGGGGGAGGTTCTGAAAACGAGCATTTGGGTGGAGAGGGCTGGGGCGATGGAAGTAGTGGTGGTCAGTGTCCAGGCTGGGAACCCAAAACCCAAGAAGCCAGTAATTAGGCCCACAGGTCCAAGAGGCAAAGGCCACAAGGGTGACATGAGTAACTGTCTTTCAGGACCAGAAGCACTGCCATTCTATTTCAGATGTTCTCCCTCAACGATATGTCCTATACTCTACTGATTGGTACAGATGTGTACCTCAGGTTGCAGGAGACATTTTAAACTCTCTTCTGTATCTGAAATACTCAGAACACAGATATTCACCTCAGAGTTGTCGGGACAGAGAGTGGGGAACAGTCACAGAAAACACGAGGAGACAGATTTGCCTCACATTTCAAACTGACACAGGAGGGGGTCCAGAGGGCGGCTGGAGCAGGAGCACCGTAGTCTCAGACTAAGAGGGCTGATCTGGTTCTGCACCCAGATCCCAACAATAGTCCCAATGTGCCACAAGTCAACAACATACATTTATTTAAAACATTCAATATGTGTGTTAACTGAATACCTACTCTGTGCAAAATATCTTCCTGTGAGCTGTGAAGGAAGTAATTAGACACAGATCATAATCTGAAATCAGTCCCAGCTGATAATTTTTCTCTTCTCAGTGAACAGAATTCTAAATGCTAGTGTAACAGATTCCTTCCAGGCAGCCGCCATCTCACCACAGCCTCTTCTTAGGGGGAACTTAAAATTGCACATTTGAGCCACATGACAGCATCCACCTCAGGGGCTGTCCCATCTGGGGTCGGCCACGGGAACAAAGCAGTAGACAGCTGGCCTGCAGCAACTGACAAGACTAAAGGCATAAGGTGGTGGTGAGAGTGGGGGAACCCCTTCCTGCGCCTGCCTGTGCCCCATCCCCAGGATCCAAAAAACACCCCTGCACACTCGCAGGAAGGTGCCCTTCTGTTTCCTGAGCCAGCCTCACCTGGATCTCCGTCCTGTGGTCAGTGTGGTAATTCCCACTGTAAAGTATCTAATAGTCTTTCCTAAGTTCAGACTAGGTTAGATTCCACCCAATACCTTCCAACGGTGCCCTGGAGTGTATCTTAAGGATCAGAGTGGTTTCACATTCATTTAACAGTATTAACCATCACCAAAGAGGTCAAATAAATTCTGTCTCGAATCTAGCCCTCAAGCTTCTAGAAAGCTGGGCTGGTTTCAAAACACACATCATTAACACTTCTGGAACATGTTAACTTATGCTAAAGTAATATATGCTAAACAACTGCCCCCTAAATTATTTTCCCCAATTGCTGCAAAATAAGGCAAATGTTTTTCTCAGACTGCAGAAGGAAACAAGCCTCCCCAGATACCAAGCAGAGAAAAAAGAAACATGCAGAGTTGAGGTGAACAGACTGTTTGCAAAAGAAGGTAGGGGTAGGGCTCAAACTGCTCTCTGCAGATTCCAGTTTAATTACTAATGCACCTTAGGTAATGTACAAAATAAATGAGGGGTTTACAAATGTCCTCACCCTCTCAAAACACAGGAGAGCCAGGACACATCCCCATCAGTCCCAGAGGCTCACTATGAACAGCTTTGGGGGGGCGTGGGAGAAAACATCAAAGTACCTGGGGATCCACACTTGTTCTGAAATAGCCCTCTGCTGATTTAGATTTGTACCAGGGGCCCTGACACACACTATGTACACACACAAATCACTGTCTCAAAGACACTCACATGCTTTCACCTGCCAGAATGTGAATAGAGATTCAATACTGCAAAAGAAATAATTTAATGTGACATCACATATTCAAGAAAAATAATACAAAACATACTCTTATTTATAACAGAATACTTACTTCTCTTGTGCTTTCTTTATGGACATAGATCCATTTTTCACGATAAAAACCTAGAATAAAAATTAATTTTATTTTAAAAAATCTGTTAAATCATTACAAAATGAAGAGTTTAAAGAACTTCAGTAGCTGCACATGCTAAAAAAATTATCTGACATTGTATGGATAAGAGATATCTTTACTTGACTAAATGTAAACAGAACTGCTTTGTTTCCTAACAGAACAGCATCTTTTTAAAGGTGCTGAAACATTTTTACATGAGAAATGATACGACAGAACCAAGTCTTAGTAACTCAGAAGAGTGAACTGTGACTACAGTCCTATCAAAACATATGTAGCTATAAACATGCATTTTGTATACACCCTAATAAAATTTCCTCCTTTACTGCCTGTCCATGGTATTCCATTTAAATACATTTTTCCATGTTACTCAAATCCCAAAGCTTCCACAACCACACAAAATCTATGGGATGCAGCAAAAGCAGTCCTAAGAGGGAAGTTCATAGTGATACAGGCCTCCCTCAAAAAAGAACAATCTTAAATAAACAATCTAACCTACCAGCTAAAAGAATGAGAAAAAGAAAAGCAAGCAAAACTGGAAGTCAGCAGAAGGAAGGAAATAATAAAGATCAGGGAGGAAATAAATAAAATAGAGATTAAAAAAATCAATCAAACCAAGAGCTGGTTTTTTGAAAGAGTAAACAAAATCGACAAACCTTTGGCCAAGCTCACCAAGAAGAGAAAAGAGAGAGCACAAATAAGCAACATAAGAAAGGAAAATGTAGAAATTACAACCAATACCACAGAAATACAAAATAGCATATGAGGATACTATGAACAACTATATGAAAGCAAAATGGACAACCTAGAAGAAATGGACACGTTTCTGGAAACATACTGTCCACCAAGACTGAATCAAGAAGAAACTGACCACTTGGACAAACCGATCACTAGAAATGAAACAGAATTAGCAATAAAAAACTTCCCTGTGAACAAAAGTCTAGGACCGCATGGCTTCACTGGGGAATTCTACCAAACATACAAAGAACTTACACCAATCATTCTCAAACTCTTTCAGAAGACCAAAAAGGAGGAGTACTCCCAAACTCATTCTATGAAGTCACCATCATTCTCATACCAAACCCAGAAAAAGACACTCCCCCCAAAGTGAAAATTACAGGCCAATATCACTGATGAACATAGATGCAAAAATCCTCAACAAAATATTAGCAAACAGAATCCAGTAGCACATAAAAAAGATCATACACCATGATCAAGTTGGGTTCATCCCAGGGACACAGGGGTGGTCCAACACACACAAATCAATCAATGTGATACATGACATCAACAAGAGAAAGGACAAAAATCATATGATCATCTCAACAGATGCAGAAAAACACTGGATAAAATTCAACACCCATTTATGATAAAAAACTTTACCAAAGTGGGTATAAAGGGAACATATCTCAACATAATAAAAGCCAAATATGACAAACCTACAGCCAGCATAGTACTCAACAGTGAAAAGCTGAAAGCCTTCCCACTAAAATCTGGGACAAGACAAAGTTGTTCACTCTCACCGCTCCTATTCAACAGTCTTGAAAGTCCTAGCCTCAGTAATCAGGGAAGAAAAAGAAATAAAGGAGATCCAAATTGGGAAAAAAGAGGTAAAACTGTCGCTATAGGCAGACGACATGATACTACATATAGAAAATCCCAAAACCTCCACACAATACTAACTAGAGCTAATAAAAGAATTTGGCATGGTGGCAGGATACAAGATTAATGTACAAAAATCAGTTGTGTTTCTTTACACTAACAATGAATCAACAGGAAAAGAAAGTACAGAAACAATCCCTTTTAAAATTGCACCCAAAGTAGTAGGAATAAATCTAACATAGGAGGTGAAACACTTACACACGGAGAACTACAAAACATTGATTAAGGAAATTAAAGAAGACTTTAAAAAATGGAAAGATATCCCATGTTCCTGGATTGGAAGAATTAATACTGTTAAAATGCCCATACTACCCAAGGCAATCAAAAGATTTAATGCAATCTCTATCAAATTACCCAGGACATTTTCCACAGAATTAAAACAAATAATCCTAAAATTTGTATGGAATCATAAAAGACCCAGAATTGCCAAAGCAATATTAAAGAAAAAGGATGAAGCTGGAGGAATAACCCTCCTAGACTTCAGACAATACTACAGAG